GCTTTACTGACGAGATGCGCATGACAATCGCATGCGATTAATTGCACAGCCCTACTGTAACACACTCACACACACACGCCAGGGTTATTATAGTTTTCATATGCAACACAAACTGTAAATATAAAGATTTTTTTATATTTGTTTTTATTTCAATTTCAATTTTCTTCGCTTTAATGATGTTAATATGTCGTTTTTTTAATTATGAATCTCTTTTATCTGTTTATCTTGCTAAATAATGCAACGAATGACGCAGAAGTAACATTCTCTACGGCGCGCGACACTTCATCAGGTCACGCTCAAAGCTGTGTGTTCCAACAAAATGACTGTGGTTTACTGTGTTTCATGGAAACTAAACCATTTAGCTCTTCCTGTTTAAGTGGGCCTGCGCTGACTGAAAGTAAACTAAAGCCTTTGCAAGTTCAATGCAGTTTTCATTCCAACTGCATCTGATACAACCGTCACTTGTTTTGAGTTTTCTATTACAATAATAATCCTGGCACACACACACACACTCTCACACACACACTCACACACACTCACACACACCACACACACAGTTAAAGGCCCTGCACACTATTTAGGGATGTTATCAAGCAGACAGCAAACTCTGGACACAAAAACAGCGAAGGGTTAGAGCAGAAGAAAAGAAAGACATTTACCCTGTCTTCTAGATCAATACACTCTAACCTCAGTCTATCTCGCTCCTCTTGGACGAGGTACGCCTTCAAAAGCAAGGCAGAGGAGGAGAGGTTACCACATCAACAACAGCACACCGAAACACACACGCACTTCACAAGCAGTGAGCATTCGCTAACACCGGAGCCTGGAGACCCTTACATTCAATACACTATACACACATTAGAGACGCTGATCAGATAAAAAGCAGAGAATCAATGCAATGGTGAGGCTTTACCGTGTTTACCTGATTTAATCCACGCATCGTTTAGCGACCAAACGTCTGCTAATAACAACTATATGATGTGCAGCGATCCAGATTAGTGCCGTTCAGCTGTGGAGATGCAGATCAGATGCACGTGACACAGGGAAACACGCACATACCTGCATGTCCAGCTCGTGACACCTCTGAGCGATCTCCTCTTTAGTGGCCAAAGCGTCGTTTAGATCCTCCACCGTCTTCTTCAGCTGAGCGAGAGGGAGAGGGAAACACACTTCACTCATAAACAATCACGCACTGGTTACGTCATCAGTGACAGAGCTCCAGATAAAGCGGACAGCACCTGACGGTCCAGATCGACGTACGAGTCGTTTCCGGAGGACACGGGCGACTCTTTACTCATCAGCTGTGGGAATAAGACACATTAAACAGCAGGCTATGACATACAGACACAGACGGCACATCCGTGACACACGCCAGACGCTGACTGACCTCCTGGATGGCTGTCATGACCACGTGCTGCACAGACTCCTCCATCATCATGATGGTCTGGATATACTCTGGAGACAAGATCATAACAGAACGGCATCATCAGCGCAGTGCCACAATACACCAGAGCTTACCCTAGTAAGACCACTCCTAGTTTGGCTACTGTGCACAATATTATCAGACGAGCTTTAGTTCTTATGGGCCGGAGTGTGTTTGGCTGGTTTATACTACATATGAGCTACATACAACTACAACTTCTCTTAAAGGTGGTAAAGCACGTGTAATAGTGACACTACATACACAGAGAGGACAAACATGCTAAACCTTGAGAAGTGCATGCGTGTAGAATATACACAGTACTGTGCAGACGTCTCAGACCATTAGTATTTTCACCAACAACACAACATGGTTTTAAGTCTGTTTTTTCTATCTTTTGCTGTAGTGTGTCAGTAGGAAATATCGGTTCACATTTCCAAGCATTCCTTTTGCCATTAATTGTTATAATGCAGTGAGATTTGTGTCTGTTTAGGAGTCTGACAGCAGCTGGTGCTCTCAGCATCATCGGTCTGTCTGAGATTACATGAAGAAACAGAAGAAACTCAGACAGACTCAATCCAGAAGAACTGTGGCGACTAGAGATGCACCGACTGCAATTTTCTTGGCCGATTCTGATTTCCGTTTTTTTTGTAAGTGTGTAACTGCCGATACCGATTTTTGCAGATTCCAATTTTTTTATAATGGACAGCATATACCAACAAAAATCTATGCAAATTTCAGTGCAAAAAATGATTTGCATAATAAAAGAAATGATTAAACATTACAACTCCCCCAATCTGGACTAAGTTAGAGAAGTTCTCTCAAAATAAAGTGCTCTGTGACTGGAAAGAGGTAGAAATGAGTTGCTGTTTATAACAAAACAGATGTCACTCGCACTCACACACACTATAACACACACACACACACAACACACACTCACACGTATAACACACTCACACTATAACACACTCACACTATAACACACTCACCCTATAACACACTCACCCACACACACACACACACACACACACACTCACACACTCACACTATAACACACACACTCAGACACACACACACACACTCACCTTGCTTCTGTTCGCAGTTAACAGCGCAGCCCAGGATGAGCTGCAACATTCGGCCCAGTTCAGCTGAATCTGAATGCTCTGCGATGAGACTGACGTCTGGAAGAGTGAAGTCATTGATCTGCTGCCCCAACACCTGCAGCAGCACAGACGGACAGAGAGGAGACGGCTCAATTCAACAGAAAGAATCATCTGACTATTACATAGAACAACATAGACAGGATCACACAGACAGATGCGTCTCACCTCATGGTTGTAATCCAGAATACCTTTCAATATCTTCTTTAAATTGCTGATCTGAAAAAACAAACAAACAAACATGAAAAATAAAAGTCCCTGTAAGACGAGTGAACCGAACACAAGAGTGACTGCGAGCGGATGAACACCTTTAACCTCCAGTTGTCTCCAACATCAGGTTTGATACGACTGATCCACGCGTCAGTGAAATACATGCCATCTCTGAGAGAGAGAGAGAGAGAGAGAGAGAGAGAGAGAGAGACACGGGAAAAGAAACT